ATTTTCATTGTCCGTCAATTGATTTTCTGCCGATCTATTTAACCGATAGTTATTTACTAATTGTACATTCCTGGTCCGTAGACCAATATTTCCTCTTGCTTGATGTGGCATTGTTTTATGTACGCGTTGCTGTACTAAACTACTTACAAAATTCTTTATTTATAACGATTCATTTTATAAAAAAATTAAAAATGTTCGTTGGTTTTAATTATATTAACGTTGTTTATATACTATTTCTAATTATTTCTGATTTCACGGCAACCAGTATTTATTAGTATAATAGCTTTAAAACCCATGGCAACCATTTATAAACAAAAATATCCACCATAAATCTCAACATTCCCGTTTGAGCACCTCCACGGAATAGGCCTACCGGGTCCGATTGTGAATATAAAATATTCTAGGGCCCACTAAAGCACACACAAAAAAATTCATCAAAATCGGTCCAGCCGTTTAGGAGGAGTTCGCTTACAAACACACGTACAGTAGAATTATATATTGTATATAAAAATATACAATAAATTATAAAAGGTAATTTTGTTATTAAAGTTTGTTAGGTATGATTATTATTTTTTAATAAGCATATATGATGAATATTTTCTCTATAAAAACTTAAACTTAATGCCTATATTACGCTTTTGTACTTGAAGTACATTTTTTCGTCTAGCCCCTCTATATTTTAATTTCTAGATACAAGCCCGAAAATAATAATAATACCTCAATCGTGATAAGTAATATAGTGTACAGTTTTATTGGTAACATATTAAATAATACACAACGTCATACGCCCTTGATAGACGGCAAGGTACTGCAGCTGTGATATATAAAAATATTATTATAATATTGTGCAAAAGTCATAACATAATATAATGTATATAACGCTATTATTAACAAAGCCGTGATCGTGTGGGGGTTGTGGAGTTTATCTCCTCGTTTAATATTATTTTGTGTGCTTTAAGTTCATAATATAAACATACAATAAAACAAAATATAAAACTATGATTTTTACTTTTTAAACTTTGATTTACCAACCCAATATTATCTTAAATGGGTAACTTCTCCCATCAAGCAGTCTTTATGTTAAACCAAATCTTATTATCGTTTAAACCTACTTTATAAAAACTGTGTTGATCGTTTAATCCAACTTTAAAGTAAAAAAAACTTTGATTAGGTAACTAACACAATAGTCAATAACGAAATACATTATATTATCGTAATAAAAAAAATAGGTATAAGTACATTAATATGGTTTCATTTGAAATTTATTTTTTTAATTAGGTTTATACACAATAATTTATAATTTTATTTTATTATTTGTATTTGAAATAAACAATTTATACAAATAATGCAAAATAATTAGCTTAATATATAATAAGAGTAGGTACATGAATGGGGTTATTAAGGATTCACCCATTAACGGAACTAACTTGATTATTTATACATATTTTTTCTTTGTTGTTGTACATTTTTATTTTTTATTTTCCAATTTTGTTATAAAATGATTAAAACATTATTATATATTTTGTAACAGGTCGTGATGCCACTTCCATTTTAACGCACGTCGAGGATTTCCTGTTAGTGTATGATGGAAAGATCCTTCGTAAGAGAATATTGGAATGATTTTGACTTAGCTTATGAAAGCGCACATAAAATAAGAGCGCTGTTGACTGCGTTGACTGTTCCCATTCTAAGATGTATTAAGATCAACCACTATTATCTCGTGGGCAAAATATGTCGTGTGTCCCTGCTCGTGGCAGTGGATAGCGCTACGACTTAAATAGTAAACGTTACTTGTTGTTTTACACCGTGCAATTATTTACGTTTACATTTTATAAATTTACTGATTCACAAATTATCTAATTAAAGAAGGTTGACGATAGGTGGCGTTGATTTTTACTTTGTAAATTTGTCACATTTGGCTACGAAAATAAAATGGGATCACACAATCAGATGGGCCTTGGATAGGAGAAATGAAGCATACCAATACTACTATACAACCACGAATCTAACATTAAACTCCATAAAATCAAGACTTGTTTAGCTCCAAACCCATATCCCTTCTCCTACACAAGACGAGAACAAACAATATATGGTCAAGTATAAAAATCGGTCACACAAACATCACCTATGGGCGAATTCTGCAACTCAACTTTAATATCCAAAAAACTCCTCCTCCTTGAATTCCCATACTCAGCCGAAGAGTAAAATATTTCCACAGCCAAAGAATATAAAAGATATTTTATCAATAAAAACCTTTAGTTTATTAATGTATTTCCTTAAAAAATCTAATCTGTACAGCCGCATTGAAATATTTCACATATATGTACCTACCTACTATTATAACTATTATTATTCTTATTACCAAATTACACTTGTAATGTATGATTATTGTGATGAATGAAGAAATTATAACGTAAAATATAAAATTCGATATTCTCCCGGCTAATGACTTTATTGTTAAAGCCGTAATAAAGACTCAAAAATTAAAAGGCGAAAGTAACACCCATATTGCATAGGCGCTTGTGAAAAATTATTATATTTCTCCATCAACAAATCGTAAATATAAATTTTAAAATTAGACCATTGTTATTCATACGTATTGTCTTCTATAATCTTTAGAAATATAATTTATTTATATTTGAGATTGTACCTCAAATACTACTGGAAAATCTTAAATAATGTATTGTTCATGTTTAATTTGTTGTTGGAAACGATTATTGTTGTACCAAAATATCATTATACTATTTGTTGTATAGGGCATGGTAAAATATAAATATATTTGTATCCATCCATCCATCCATCAAATAAAATTAAGGAAATTTTACTATTTACATGATTAATAATCTGTGTAGGTCATTATGTGTTTTCCTATTTTTCCATAAATTGACTAGTTAATACGGGAAAACACAGAGGCCCACCATTTCTAATGTGTACACATATTATATTAGTTTATATTATACTGTACTATTATATATAGTTAAATAGGAGTATTGGGTTGGGTTGGTCCCTTAAAAATAACAATTTTAAATTTCTACCTCTTATTAATGTGATTCGTAATATAATGAAACTAAAATAATAAAGCTTGTTGAAAATCTAGTCAGCATAGTCGAATCGTGTGTAGTACGCCTCAAGAGTCAAGAGGGTTGATAGTATTGATAATATAGTAGAGGTATACATAATAATATAGTATTTACACATTCTTTGAGTTTAGATCGCAATGTATTCATATCCGTAGTGGTTATTATTTAATATTTTTGTTATTTTTATCATAAAGCTCTTAAATAATGTGTAACGATGGTACAATTATTATTGATTTGCCTGGTTACCGTCATTAGTGATCTACGTTTGTTGAACGTGTATTATCGCCAACGGTTTCTAAAAACATTTTCGGCATTGTCACACGGTGGACAATTTTATACTATTATTTCGTAGTTATAATAATAGTATATATAAACGATTTGAACGTAATATTTATTATAAGTTCACATTCAGAACAAACACGAAATTATATCATAATACGGCGCTTCGAGTTTCACAAGTGGAACTGGAAATCTTAGAATAATAGTTCTAATAATAATACCCTTCGTTATTATACATCTTCTAGCACCGTGAGTATAATATTATTTATTATTTTTGTTATTATTAATGTTCCTGTTGTGGTTGTCGTGTCGTTTTCTCATGACTATTATTATGCTATTGAGCAATGTGCCTAATGTACTAAAAAACTAAAAACAAAAAAAACAATTGCAAGTTGGTTTAAAAACATAACCAAGTATTGAAGTGCGTTTTGAATAAACATTTTCATTTTTATTTTTAATATAACTTTTACGAGTCCGTGGAAGTGATCAAAATTAATTATTAGCATCGAATGGAAAATGTTTCATTTTAATCTGAAATATTTAAATTAATATTTTTTAGATAAACATTTTTTTTTATTATATTGTCTCATGGCTCGTTGTGAAGACTATTAATAGACTTTGTTAGTAGTCCTCGGATTGTTCAATATCTATCATAGATACTACATAGTGTTCATGTATTAGGTATTACCATTAATTTAAGATTATGAATTATTGAGTATTCATAAACAATGGTATTAAGTATTAAAAAAATCTCCAGTTACTTTTGATTTACAAAAATAGTATTCAGTAACGCATAAGACAAAACGCGTTTAAGAATAGGTTCTAGGTCCTTATCATACAACGCTACTGACAAAATATAACTATTCAATATGCCCAACTAGTTTTCAAAATCATTATTTTAGGGACTACATTATAGTGAAATCTAAATATTTCATGCTATGTGATACAGATATATTCGATTATTGTAATAAATCACTATATATTAAACTTTATACGATTAGGTGAAAACAATTATCAATTTACTGATGAAGTTAAATTAATTTACTTGAATTTTTTTAATTTTCTACTATAAAAAAATGTGCTGTTAAATATTGCTAATAATAAAAAACAAAAAAATCACATTAACCATTAATTGTCGGATAAAAAGGCGTGACGAGTGTATTATATTTATTGAATTTTTACCGACAAATTGAATGTGGGGGTTGAGTGGATGTGCTCATGGATTACAATATGTAAAAAAAAATATGTAAAAAAACGGTAATTTAGTGTTTACATTTTATTTTATAAGTGGAGCGAGAAATTTATTGGATCAACGAAGATCCGTTTTTTTAGTTTTGTCAGTGACTAATTTGTTTTAAGTAGAAAAAGAGGTCCAAATATTTTACGTGATCGTCAATGTATCTAGTCAGTATACTTAACATAAATGTGGTTAATTGAATCTATCATCGTAATGAAAAGCTACCAATATACTATAGAAAAATAAACTTAGTGATTTGATAGTTGTGTTCTAATTCGAAAAGTAATAATCCTAGAAATTCTCAATTTCAAATACATTTTGTTCTTGGGAATTAGGGTTTTGGAAAAACTAGTTTTGAAATCCATACTTTTCAACCATCATGATAATAATATCGACCATTACAGATGGCGTTGGCCGGAATAAACGAAGAGAACGTTCTGCAGGAGAACACGACCATCCGGTCAATTGACGCCACTTATGCGGTGCACAAAATTATCGGCACCGGTCGTTTCTCGTGCGTCTACAACGCGACGGAGGTGGGCACGGGCAACCCAGTGGTGATCAAGGCGTCGAACGATTCGGACTCGAGCAGACGGCTGGACCGGAAACTGTACCTCAAGGAACTGGACTTTTTGAACAAGCTCAATTCCAGTCAGTTGCGGGCCCGGTACGTTCAGTTGAGGGACACCGTCATGCTCAAATCGGGAATGCTATGTTTCGTCATGGAGAGACTTAGCACCACCCTGCAGGCCGTGCTGCGGAACATCGGCCCTCTGCCAATGTGCATGTGTCGGCCGATCGTCAGACAGATCGCACAAGGTACTTGTACAACACTAATACCGGGTAATAATATCTTGTGCAAAATGTAGAGCTAAGTATAGGTACTTCTAAATCTGCAGTGGTGAGTATACGTGTAGGTACCTCGGCGTGGTGTCCGGCGTTTCATCACATCATCACCTGAGATAAAACTCAATGCGAATGGGTTGAATGATTTGTCTAGGGAAACGAATAAGATTTTTATGTTAAAGCGGTATTATACGATTAAGATTCTGTAAGAATCACGATACTATGGCGAATTTTGACTTTTTTTTTCAAGTAAATTACATTGGGCGCGTTGTACTATAAATATTTTGTATATAATAAACTAAGTACCACTTTTACGATGAGAGATGAATAGAAAAGCATTAATATTGCAAATCGTATTCTGTGGGTCGTAATATTGACGATAAGCATCGAATATTTAAAACATTTTAACATAACTTGGTCCAACTACAAATCAACAATGTTTTTTTTACATGATTTATTATTCCTGTTTGTGATGCGGAGTCTGGATTTATTATAATATGGCCTTGTAGTAAAAGTGAAAGATAATGATTTAGTAATGATAAGTAATGGATATAGGTAACCTGTAATATAGATAAAATATGGTCAAATTATTTTTCAAATATGTAAATCATGTACTAACCATTGGATTATGAGTTTATTTTATTTGACATACCATCTGTTTTTAAAAACTTTGGCACCACTGATGAGACACTAGAGGGATCGGAGGGAACGTCACTCTATATATTATTTATAACTATTAATTTTTGAAATTATCTGAACAAAACTAATTTATTAAACTAGTCACTTAAGCTAAATTATTAAGTAAGTTAGGTAGGTAAGTAATTAGAAAATTAATTAATTAATTAAAACATTTTTAATTAAAATAACTTTAACAAGTTGATTTAATGATGCCTAAAATATAATATGCTCTGTAATAATGCACCGAGTATAATAAACATTATACATAATAATATTACATTAATTAACAAAATATATTATTATCATCACTATGTCGGTCAATCTTTGTCCTGTATTTGGTCAATGTCTCCCTATAGTTTAATATTTTTATAATATTTTGATTTTGATATTATTCATTAGTTAATGTAGTATTCGCTTATTGTTATAACTTATTAGTCTCTGGAGTTCTCTTCTGATAGACCTAATACCCGAGTTGTACAATTAATTACTTATGATGTTTATTTTGGACTTTGTTCTACCTGGTCATGTTCTGGTTATGAACATGTTTATCTATTATCTATTAGGGCATTGTTTTCAAAGGTTAGGATTAATATAACAATATGCAGTTTTTGTGTGTTTAGTAATGTAACCCGAAGGATAAATCAGGTTAGTCCGAGCACATCGATTTTTCCCATTCCAGCTTTACACATTGTTGGCGTAAAATAAATATCGCCTGTATAGGTATCTATAACATATGTTTAGGCATCTGATATACCTAATAACCTATATTGTATAAATATTATTAAACGCACTCTTATTCGTTGTAAAATGTCAGACTTTAAACTGTTATAATGTACCATCAGATACTCTCACGTTCCTACATAGTACGTCATTATGTACTTTATTCGGGGATAACGTCGTGAAAAAACTAACCCAGATAATGTTCAAATTGACCCATTCTTACCTTTTCTTTTGACGGGTAAACGTCTGAAATTGGGTAAGATCAATCTCGCCCGTGTAATGCCGACTTTACACAAAATCGAGGATTGCCCTTACGATAATACATTTTACGTGCACAACTTATTATTGAACAGCTAGTGATTGTTGGTTCGGATCGACAGGATAAATGACAAATAAGTGAATAATGTTTTAATGCCTTTTTGATAAGAGGTTTTACAAAAAGTATTACTCATTTTAATTAGACATGCTGCTCCCAAAAGCATTGCATACTATAAATCCTTTGATTATCTATATGTCATGAATTTCCAAACATATAATTTAAAAATTTATTTTCAATATATTATTATAAAATCTAATTTTTATTTTTTATTTCTGAAAAAACTTCAACAAGTCAAGTACAATAATAACATTTAATATTATAATAGTACCTGTGGCTAAAAAAAATTCGTCAAAAAGATCTTTAATTTGTTTTCATATAGGTATTTATTTGATTTATGAACACAAATTGACAAAAAAAAGAGTGTAAATGTCGAAAAAGGTTTTATATACTTTTTAAATTCTGAGTGGAACGATGAATGTATTGATTTTACAATGATGTGTGTTTTTTTATTTTTATTTTTTTTTTGTGTCTGTCATCAAATTTTAGGACAGGAAACGTGCTTGGATTTTCTTCAGCAGTATCTTTTCTGATAGGAAAGTGAATCTAGTTGGTACTTGGGGGGGGGGGGGGGGGGTCACAAGTAAAATTTTTCCAGTTGTTTTCAAAAGCGCAGTGAAAAACAAAAGAAAAATTAAGGAAAAACGGGAATTTTGACGCTAATCCGATTTTGACTTTTGTTGTTACTCTAAAACAAAGAACGTATATACTTGAACATTTCACTGGTTGTCTATATTTCCATTTTCTATACATGATACAATTTTCCAAATAATTTGAGATATTTTGAGCTCTTTACGGACATGTTCAGTTTCAATTTTTTTTAGTTTTTTTTTTCTATAAATATCAATAAAATTTTATTTGTTGGGTACGAAAGCTTAAAAATGTAATGAAAGAAGGCTCCTAATATATTGTTTCTAAGACAGATGAAAAATATTAAAAATAATTAGTCACAGTAGTTTTTTGTTATAAGCATTTAAAGTTCAAATATTGACAAAATACGTAAAAATGACGACAATTTGCAAATTATTTCGAGTTAGAAATTTATAAAAATTTTTCTTTTTAAATCTAAGATATGAAAATGTAATACTAGATTTCTCATAAGTTTCTCTACCTTTATCAAAAAAAAATGTCTACAAGGAACTCAAATCAAATTTTTATGAGTGTTTGAAATTCATATTTTTACAATATTTGATATTCATTCGATTTCTCATGTAACGATTTTATAATTTTGTTGTAATTAAAAAACGAATGACTGTAGATACTTGAAAATTTCACTGAATGTTTATATTAGCATTTCCTATACACCATATCATTATGAAATATTTTGACTTTTTTTTGAGCTGTTTTGAGCTGTTTACGGACGTTTTCAATTTAAATTTTTTTAGTTCTTTTTCTATAAATATCAATAAAATTGTATTTGTTGGGTAAAAAAGCGTGAAAATTTAATGCAAAGCTCCTGATATATTGTTACAATAGCACTTGAAAATATTAAAAATACATAGACACAATTTTTTTTTATAAGCTTTTAAAGTTCAAATTTTGACAAAATTTATCACATTTATAATTTAACAGTAATTTTGTAGTTAAAAATTTATAAAATGTTCTACTATTATAGCTTATGATTGAAAATTTAAAACAAGATTCCACGTAAATATTTTATATATAAATTACTTTATTCACCTTAGTATCATCAAGTATACTTCGTAATATCATAGGCTGACTAACCGTTTTCGCTCAGAATCGTTTTTCTTATACAATAATATTATATCATTGAATTAAAATTTAATACCATCCGTTATACAGTGACCCACTTGTAACCTACTGTACAGCATAGCACCTTTTTTTTTTTATCTTAACGTCTTTAAATCTTTATCAGATTTTGTTTTGATTTGATTTATAATGTTATGTTCGTTCCGTCGGCTGTCCGTGTTCATGACGTACGCGTTATAAGGCTTGGCGGGTCTGAAGGTTTTCGGGATAGTGCACGCCGACCTCAAGCCCGACAACATAATGTTCACATCCGGGTCAGGGACCGATCTGCAGGTGAAGATCATCGATTTTGGTTGGGCGTTCGACATGAAGAACGTGCACACCATGTACCAAAAGCAGATCCAGGCGATCCCATACAGAGCGCCCGAGGTGTGCTTCCAAGGCAGCCTGGACCACGGTCTGGACATGTGGGCCCTGGGATGCATCATGCCGGAAATCGTTACCGGCATCAAGCTGTTCGACGTGGACGAGGAGCAACTGTTGATAAAAATGATTATACGCACCCGACCAGTGCCCGAGTACTTGATATCGGATTACCCAACAAATGTATACGACACTAAACTTCCCGTCGGTTGGATTCAATTTCAGGTGATTTTTATTGACATGACATATTGTTATCGTCGCCTATCGTTAATCATTTTACTCTCAGCTTATTATAAAATACCACCTGTGTGTCACCGTAAGTGTACGCTGTACCCACCGTACGACCACTCAATACCTAAGTAGTCGTCTTCATCTATCCGACACTGAATTAAACTATTAACACTCACAATCACATATCATATGCTGTTACATTTGAATAAGTATTAAGTAGCAATTTATGAAAACTAAAAGTTAGTTTTTTAAGCCATTCGTGTTTACATTGACTTAAGTAAATCAAGAAAATCTACTACAAATTACGATGGATACCACAATGTTTATATAATTTTAATACAGTATGCACTAATGTTTACTATGATAAGCATCTGCGAATACTCACTATAAAAATATTAAATAGTTTTAAATAATCTGTTTAGTACAATATCTAGTTTGATCTACTGATGCACAGTAAACATATTGTAATTTGTAATAAGTCACTAAAAAAATGAGTTTGTAAATCCTCCGCATGTCTTTGAATGTACCATATGCGTCATAATATCAATTAGGTTTTTGAATAGGTTATAAATTACGATTTTCAAAAATGTAATCAACATAACATATTATACATATTATGACATGGTACATTTCGTTTGTTTTACATTTAAATACAATATAGGAGTTTAACTGTAGTCCAGTCACACCTATTATAGCACTAATTGTGTCTACCTATTTCGCACTGAGTTTTTTTTTTTTTTAATCCTATCATCGCCTATTATTGCTAATTTGCCTATTTGACAGGCCGATCAGAACAAGTCGCTAACAATATTATTCAATTCCAACTTACGAGTATGGTTGTTAATAATATGAAATGCCTACTGCTTAATATGTAGAATAAACGGCAATAATAAATTATGACGTGCGTGTGTTGATCACATAATAATTATTGGAAGTGCCTATCATCGTGTTCGTCGCATACATTTCACTACCTACCTAATTATATTGTGCACAATTAATTACCACTAATTACATAATAATATGTAGCCATATAGGTAGGTGGTATACTGGTATACTCTACGTAAATTTAAAATATACACTACTTATGCTCTTACCAGTATTACTTATAGACACGCTTTATAAACTTTTTTTTTTTTATAAAAATCAAATTAAATGTTTGAAACGTAATACCTATGTACGATTTTTAGTACTCGTTCCGTCGAATCTAATTGTTTTTCACGTTTCATAAGTTTTCCTCGTAGCATACCTGTATTTGTATAGTATATTATTAATACTGATTTTTTTGCTTTTGGGTTCTACTCGATTTTTTTTTCGCAAAGAGAAACGTCTGATATGAACAGTGTATATAATAATAATATATATGCGTTATTATTAAAAGCTGGATACGGCCTATTGTAATACGGAGGAATTGTTTGATAATATAATGTATATATTATTGTATTGTTTGCGGTCCGTTATTGTAAAGTTTTCACGAAACTGGGACGGTTTCCGACTGCATATACATTGTTATTGGCGAGAATCTGAATCCGTTTCGTGAGTAGAAAATATGAGTTGAAAAAAAAATAAAACAAACTGTACATTAAAAGACATTTCGAATTTGTGCTACTGCGGAAGAATTACTTAGGACAGCATATTTTATTTGAGACATTATTATTATTGAGAATGATGGTTACGGTTTTATCCAAACGTCATCCCATGCAATAATATTTATTGTTTGTGATGCATTCGGTGGGGAAAATGTGTGCAACTTGAGGTTCCTCTTACACAAACTTAACCACAAAAATATACGATCGTAATGTTCGATTTTTGTCGGTAAATGGTTCATGGTTTGAATAAAATTTAATTCTTATATGGTGCAAAACTGAAACGTCTACCAAAAAATGAACTATCGATAGTCAACAACTGTACAATTATTCAATAAAAGTTAAGTACGAGTTTGTTATTGTATTTTCAAAAAACGATGTAAAGAGAATAATATTGAGATATATACATTTTATCGAAGTGAATGCAAAACTAAACAGTTTTTTAGTTTTTAAAATTAAAATAATAAACTAAAAAAAAAAATTGGTGATATTATAAATTATTATGTGTTTATATTGTATTCATACTATACAATTATTGCAAAATGTATTAACGTATTTTGTACCTATTATACTACTATAACACATATTTACATTTATACAAAATATTATAACACGGTTATATATTTTAAAATGCCGTGAATCAAAGTGATTAAGATGTGTTTTGTGGATGAATACAAAATATTTATCTCACGACTTGATATAATTAATCGTCACAAAAACACGAATATGAAATGCTTTTTGAATAGATAACATTAAAATACAGTAATAAATATTTATTTCCCATACTTTTTTGTTTTTAAATCATCGTATAGGGTCATTTCTAATACAAAACTGTTATTTGAGTAGCTTATAGGCCGTTGACAATTATTTTATGGAAACACTACAAGCTTAATAAAGTCAAGACTGTTCAATAATAATTCACTGTTGGTCATGGCATCATATTCCCTTTTATCACTGTTATCATTATTTCATGTAAATACATTTTGTTTTTTTCATAAAATATCGTTCCACCATTTCATTCGTAGCGTTTATCTGCAGGAGTGCGTTGCAGATGATTTACATATAAATCTAATTTTATAATTTTATATGTGTAAAAAAAACGAGAAATGTATAATATTATAACGGACACGTACAACACCCATCATCGCTTCAGTTGACATACGAAATACGAAGTTGATTTCCGGTCACCAACTCATATTAGTGTTTAATAATATTGTGTAGACATCTTAAGTCTACCCAATTTTTTTTTTAAATGCGTATAATACAATGATTAAATTATGCATTTTATAATAATTGCGTGTGCAACAACAAACCGAAAAAAAGAAGACCTACTTTTTTAAAATATTTGATGAATAGTGTTTTTTCCATTTTCAGAATTTGCACCATGACGTGATCGAGCAAAACGACCAGCAATGCTGTGAGGACATTAAGTGGTTCATGGACTTGGTATATCAAATGTTAGTTGTAATGCCGGATACGCGTATAACAGCGGTCGAAGCACTCGCGCATCCATTCCTGACGATCATGCATTTCATAAAGTACCCGAGTACAGCGATGACCAAGAATAACACGAAGTTAATGGAATCATGTAAGCTCGACATTTGAATCGACTTAAGCCCCTGCAATTTATATAGTTCTGGCCCCATCCTCCACACTTCTGATCTAAAAATCAGCCAACACTGCACCGTCGGAGAAAGCTTTGTTATTTTTTTATAAAAATATATTATATATAATATATATTGTGTTGTATTTACTGTACCTACAAGATGACGATATCGTCTTGAAGATAATCGAAGACATCGAATGTGATAATAATAAAGATAACTGTGTGCAATCCATTCACGCTGTGTTAAATATTGCATATTATTATACTTAATAAATAGTCTGGGTGGTCACGGTCTATATTTGAGTATGTATAATTAAATATGTTTGTCCTTTGCGGCTATCTACACAGTTTAGACGAAAGTATGATATTTCGACGTTTTGCGTCCGAAATCACCTATATTATAGTGATCCCTTGAGAGAATAACGGTCTGAATATTAATCTCCACGGGGACTCAAGGATCAAGTAAAATATAAAACGCCTACAGTATGGTTTTATATCGTACCCGTGCGTCATCGGCCAGTTGCCTGCAATAAATTCCGTCAATTTTGTCACGTTTTTTAAATCGCCCGACTGTTATTGTTACTGTAGGTATACTTTGTACGTTTGTTTTATATTTTTAATTAAAAAAAAAAAAAAAATGCTTTAAAATGACAATAAATAACAATAAATAACTTTTTCAACTTTAGAAGCAGGATTTGAGAAAAAAGACACAATAATATGAGATTGATGAAAATCTCCAAAAATTTAGAATAAATAAAGAAGACGTGTAGGTAACCACTCTGCTGTATCTATAGTAGGTGTCTAGTGTATTTGGTCTATACTATAATATGTGGTAAATATTTTGAATCCAACGATAAATCATTGTATATGAAAAAATATTCTGAAAAAGCAAAATGGTCTGTTAGTAATTAGTATATTAGGTTCTAAGTAATATATTGATATATTTATACTGCCTTAAAGAAATTTGTGTTACTATTGGTCTACGGTATGAACTACTTATGAGGAACCTTTGTAAAATTGTCAAGTTTTTGCACGAGCTAAAATGTTTTCATCGATATTTATCGAAAAAAAAAATAGAAAATTTCAAATATACATGTATATAATTAGCATAAAGAACTCATATTTTGAAAATTTGATCATGCATAGAAAACGCTTACATAAATATTTGGTGATAAGTTCAAGCATATACGGTTATTTGTTAATCGTTTTCGAGTTAACCCCAAAAAAGACAAAATCGAATTCCTCAAAAACTAGTTTTGCGTAAATATTTGAACAATAGGACATTTTTACTTATGACCATTGTAAAACAAATATTGGTATTAATCGCTTTGTCCGGAATCTAAAATTACGGACCAATAGGCGTGGTTGTTGTAATCGGTAAAATACGCTTGTACTTAATTGAAAGTCTTGCATGCACTCATAGTCACAGATAATCATCGCACCAGCTCGAGTGTATATATATTTATATATCTTACGATACAGTGTCACGGCAGTGCGTTTTAAAATTCCAACACGGAAACTGCACTCTTCAGAGTCGATCCCTCGGGGTCGTAACGGTATAAATATGCCTAAATATGTCACATTATACAAACTCACCCCCCCGTCCACTACGCGACGTCATTGCCACAGACTACTATAATGATGTGTAGTAGGTATACCTACATGGTTGGTAAAATCTTTATACCGCTCTGCTAAATACGTGTATATTATATTTTAATAAAATGTAATATCGTCACGGGAGCGTATATTATCCTTATGGTATATTATTATAATATAGACCATTAGTTGTGCAGACCCTGCAGCTGGAGATCAAGCTGCAGAGGTCACATAATATATTATAACAGCTGCGGGTAAACGCGCCTCCCCGACGAAAAATTTCCCATATTATATTTACCGTACAGACACGGTGCACTGATGATACACCTACCTCGACCTATGTGTGAGCTCGTGTATAATAATATTATGGCATAACGTTCGCGGTACTATAATGGTATATTGGTATATATATTATAATATGGATATACCGTGTACGGACGATAATCTATATAGGTAATATAGTAAACCCACTCTGGAGTGCGAGTTCTGCAACAAAAGAGTTCGATGCTTTGAACAAACAGACCCTAGGGGCTTAAATTAGTAAATTACTGATGCCATTTCCGTGAAAAACTGAGTATTAAAGCATGCCGGTTGTTACACAGCGACGGAAATCTTCAGACGACTGGACCGATCTACTGCCCTCCCGCCAAGTATATAACGTCCGTTTGCAGACTCTCGAAAGAATAATAATATCGTAATACTATTATTATTTATTATTATTATTATTATTACTATTATAACTATATATTATATATGTCTTTGTTGTACTTTATTGTTTGCGTAGCGTTCGAGCGAATATGATACGATGTTATATTATATGCGTTCGTCATCGTAATAATTTTTTGAAAACAATGCACCGCAGAAATAATGAAATAAATTATATTATACAAGGTGATTCTCATTTCTCTTTCAATACTAGCTGCTGTCCCATCCGTCGTTGCCCGTGTCAAAGATTTATTTTTTTAAACTTATACTCACCTCATATTATGTACCTATCAAGATGTCAAGGAGCTTACAAACAACCAATAACTATAATTTATTAGACTTCGGATGTACGATACATATACATGCACATTGTATTTATTCTAGCAGCCCCATCATATTTTAGAAGATAAAATGTAAATAATTAAAAGTACAATTGGCTTCACGGCTGAGTCGTGCACATAATATGCACTTTGTGTTGAAGTGAAACAACGTCATCAGTCGTAGTCATCCAACCAATACTATTTTGTGCAGCACTCTTAACCATAGATACACAATTGCTTTCTCGAAAATAGTATTTTTTTTAATTTTCTTATAATTTAGTCATATAAAATCTTATGAATTTTTTTTGTACGACATTATCCTACATTTTGATTTTCATATTCCAAAGCAGAATATTTTTGAAAGAAATTATAATAAACACAAATTGAATTTTAAACAAGTACCACATAATTGCGTCGTTTTAATAAGAAAAAGCTCGGATTTGCATGCACTATAAATAATAATCATTAATATGCACTTATAGATGTACACAAGATGTAAGTAGATATACAATAGATGTAGAAAAACCGCGAAATGCGCAATATTTGATTATTTTAATTTAATATTTAAGAGATAGAGTTGGTACGAAGGATTACTTTTTAAACTAAAAAAAATTTCTCTCCCCCTGTTCATTTTTATTACCTAATTAAGTCTATTTAAGTGATCGTCATTTCCAAATCCTGTTTGGTTCCTCAGTATCAAAAATTGAGAAAGTCTTAGCTGGAGTACCCTAGGGTGGAATCCTCTCACCCTTTCTTTTTAATATCTATACTTCTGATCAGCCTATCTCCAAAAATACTATTGTAGCCGATTACGTGGATTAAAAAGCCATCATATCATTTGATAAAAACCCTATTACTGCCTCAGCAAATCTTCAAACTCATCTCAACCTAATGTCTGAATGGTACACCGATCGGCGCATTAAACCTAATCCCAATAAGTCAGTACATACAACATTCACTCTATGCCACTCCATTTGCCCTAAATCTGTTTACATAACATACTTATTCCCACATCAGACACAGTTAGATATCTAGGACTTAACTTGGATAAGCGCCTCACTTGGTATAGCCATATCTGTATAAAGAGACTTGCCTTAAACGCCCGTCTTCGCAGGCTACGAACTCTACTCACAAATAATAAACCCTCCAGTTTAAAAATTAAAGTTCTTATGTATAAAACATTGCTCAAACGTTTATGGACATATTATGGTCTCCAACTATGGGGTACAGCAAAAGTGTCCAATACCAACAAAATTCAACAATTTCAGAATATTGCTCTTAGGAAAATTACTAATGCTCCACCCTTTGTTTCGAATTACACTATACATATAATGAACTGTCAATTAAAACCGTGACAGAAGAAGCTACACGCTTCTACGAAATCGTCCATGTCCGTCTACAAACACACCAAAACCCACTGATTAAAAACCTATCCACCCAAACATTACCTGGCAACCCCAGGCATCTTTTAAAAAGGAGCTGGTGCCATGACTTGTTAGGGAACTAATATAAAAGAAGAAAAAAAATCAGTATATATAATATTATATATAGTTAGATTCATACAACATCCAGTCAAGTGCCACTAGTGGGTCTTATCATGTATTCCATTTATTATTGAAACCCTTATCAAATATTATGCTAATTGTGCATAGATGTATAAATTGTATATATTAATGTGTAAAATAAAAAAAATTTAATTCTTATTATTTTATTAATAAATTGTCAGTATAACATTAATTCAAAGCTGCAATTAAACCAACCGCCTCCCCCCCCAAAAAAAAGAAAAAGAAAAACTTATATAAAACAAGCATAAACATACAAAAGTTGTAATGCTTGTTAGGAAAAAAATGTACAATAGTGTGTCAGCGTATACAACAAATGTTCATATATTAAAAAGAAAAACTATAAGTCACAACAATAATATAATATGCTCTATATTTTATTTTGTGAAATTAAATTGGTGATTTGTTAATATACCTATACTTGCATGACAAAAAACTGCATTGTACATCAGCACTCCTAAAATAGCCAATATTTCTATTTATGGTGAATAATAATTGTATGCGTGAAAAACGTTAAAATTAGTACTTTCACCTTGAATTATTTTTGAAATTTTTTTCGACAATTTTAGTTCGGTACTTTTTATTTATAATATCATCACATTTCGTTTAAGCAACTCTACTACAGCTTTTTTTATGAAGTATATTTACTGAATTTTCAACTCTTCTACTATTTATAATTCGTCCATAAGAAGTGCATTTTATACTTAGACATTTTTAATACTTTCAATATTAATTGAAAAGTTATTTTAGTTCAGGCAAGATCTGGTTTAACATTAAATTTATTCAAAATTAATTTACAGATTATCATGCTTTTTG